TAAGTGCCTATTTGGGGAACAACACAATTAAATTAAAAAAATATACATTTTATGAGTCAAAACTCTTGTTATATATCTATCTTATACGGCATAAAATTGCTTGAAAAAAGTAATCCAAACACATGCAAAAATCAAATGTTAGCTTTAAAAAACCTTTAGTTTTGGTTATGTTGACTTGTTGAGTATTCAAAACCGTCTAGTAGAAAGAATTGGTTGAAATAAAAAGGAATGGAAAAAAATGGAATGAAAATTTTTGAATAATAACATGTTTGCTAAGTACTAGAATGAAAAATGAGTTGATGAAAAAATTTATGTTTTGTTAGATGAAAATAGATTGAAAAATTTTGTTATTTTACTATGTTACTCTTAATGAAAGAATAAAATATTATTAAATAAATATGATTTTTAAACTTATATAGAATAATAATATTATTAAAAAATCAATAATTCAGGTAAATAAATTAATAAAAATAAATTATAATTAAAATAAATAATTAAATATTAATATTTAATTAAATAATAAAATCACTTTAGATTTCAAATGATTAAAAAATTAAATAACAAAATCTACATAGGAAAATAAAAATATAAATATTATACAAAATAGATTATACATCTTGATTTTGTTAGGTGAGAATTGTATTTTTTTTTCCAATTTCTTGTTTATATTTTACCAATTAAGTATTTTGTTCTGTTATAGACAAAATTTATATAATATATTTTAGGAAAAATCTCTTAAAAGGACACTTAAATAATTCAAATTATTATTTGGGTTATTAAATTTGTCAAACCCTTAATCAAATTACATGATCTAAAAAGAGGAATTTTAAAATTTTATGAAATGATTCTAATGTTCATTTCATTAGGAAAAAAAATCTAAATTACCATGTTTCATTTTGCAATTACAGATTTTAATTCTAAATTAATAATTTTTTGTCTCCATAACATACTTGCAACAAGTTTTTGAATAAAACTTAATTACAATACAATCTTGAAAACTAATAAGTTTAATTACTGAGTTAAAAAGTTTCAATTCCAAATTAATATTTTTATGTCCACATAACACTTTGGGGTAAGCTTTTGAATAAAACTTGATCATAATACAACTTTAAAAAAATAATATTTTACATTTCACAGTTAAGATGTTTTAATTCTAAATTAACAATTTTATATCATTAAAATACACTTGCAATAAGTTTTTCAATAAAAAGTGATTACGATACAACTTTGAAGATTATCAAGTTCAATTATGCAGTTAACACATTTTAATTCTAAATTAAAAATTTGAAAATAATAGAAAATTTTTGTTTCTCTATATTTCTAATGAAAAGAAAATTAGAGTCATTTCATAAATTTTAAAATCCTTCTTTGGGTTATATGACCTAATTAGGGATTTGGTAAATTTAATAACACAAATAAAAATTTGGGTTATTGAAGTTCCTTTTTAAGGGATTTTCCCTATATTTTAAGGGAATTCCCATTGTGTTATTAGATCGTAAGACGCATATTCATGATTCGAAAATTGCCCTCCCCATTCATGATCGGAAAAACATTGTAAGATGAGGATTCATCAAACCAAACTTTCAAGAGTAGTTAACCAGTATAAAAATTAAAAAAATACTCTCCAGTACACTCTATTTGCCCATATTTTTCACGTATTGAATAGAGCATAAACAAACCCCTATGAACGAAATCAATTTGAAGGTCAATTTTTAGCGGACATATCTTGCTCAATTTAAATACAAATTAGCCAAATGATATATCATTGTAAAGCTTACCAAGCGTAATTTCTAATGCAGTAAGACCAATTCAATTATATATATATATATATATATATATATTTAAAGTCAAGTTCGGTGAAATTTAAGTTTTAATATAACAAGAAAAGGAGAAAGCAGATTTAAATTTTCTCACATAAATTTGAATTTGCTTAAGAAAACTTGAATTTGATTACATGATATTCAAATTTACTCGAACAAATTTGCATTTTATGCAACACAAAATTTGATCATCACATGGGCAAATTAGAATTTTATGCAGCAAATTTGAATTAATTTGAATATAATTCTATCAAATTCAAATTTGCTCCACCAAATTCTTGTTTAACGTTGTCCTTTTACCTCTCTTTTAAGATTGGAAAAGGTAGTAGCTTGCGTGCTGAGATCTGGGCCGTGCTCTGGGGTTTGAAGAGAGTGTGGGAGCTGCGATGGATGAACATTGTTATTGAAACGGATTGCTTGGAAGCGCTGGAGCTTCTGAACTCGGGGTGGTTCTACCACCCCGAAGGTCAACTAGTTGATGAGGTGCAATGGTGGCTAGAACGGGATTGGGGAGCAAGCGTACAGTGGTGTTCAAGAGACATGAACTTACCTGCGGATGCGTTGGCAAAAAACGCCCTAAGTTCGGCTGAGGGGATATATTTTTTCTATCATCCTCCTGAGTTTATTGCTGGTCTTATTAGTTCCGATGTAAGCAGCTAGCCTTAGGTACTCGTACTGATCCCCCCGGGGGAAGAAATCACTTTTGACTAAAATTTATTCAAAATTTTACTCGAACACAAAAGACTTTTAACATTAAAACTTGTAGTAAAACTTCAATATATCGGAGTTGGTTATTAAAACAAATGAAAAAGAAAAAAAGTATCTGGATAAAGAACAAGACTTCCCTTGTCTTCATAATTTGGATTCAGGCAAATCAAATATCCAACATTAAGAAAACGTTTATGAATCAGTTAAACGGGTTTTAAGAAACAAATCTAAAGACAATAATTTTTATGAAAACTTTTCAAAGTTTATCTTAACTTAATTAATTTACCTTCAAAATAAATTCTTTTCTAAATTTGATATCATCAAAATATTAGGTCTGTCATTCTAACACAAATCAAATACGAATATGCAAATTTTGCAATATTACTTTTTTGGTTTCGAAATAGATGAAGAATTTAAAAAAATCTACTATCGATATTTGAATTGACAATCAGGTCTTTAACCCTATGTTTGGTATGAGGAAATTAAAAAGAAGGAGAAAGAAGAGAAAATTTTAATAAGTTTAATTTTAAAAAAATTATTAAAGAAGTGGGGTTGCAAAATTTTGATAGAAAGAAGACGTAAAATAAAAGAGTAGGAAAAATTAACTAAAAGCTTTTAATCTCACTTCTTCAATTTTTTAAAATTGAGCTTGTTAAAATTAGTTCTCCCCCCTCTTTTCCCCTGTTCTCATCATACCAAACAGAGCCTAAAATTAACTACACATTTTTAGGGTCTATTCAGCACAATAAAAATGTAAAGGGGAAAAAAAGGGAAAAATCTATTATTTTTCATCACACCCAATATGTTCGGACGTCAACCTTTACGGGAATTCAATTTCATGCGGGACATAATTTTCTCTTATACACGGCACTGCCGCTTTCCACTATTTTTGACGAAAACCAATTTTTAGTTGCGATGAGAAAATCTAAAAAATAAATCTACCCCTGAAAATACAAGTAAAAACTCTTCGCCCGACCAATCTCGAAGCTAGAAGACCTGAGTGTTCAGTTCAATTAACCAAAAAAATAGTTAACTTCGCATTAAAACACGGGCTAACACTGAACAAAATGTTTATTACAAATAAAACATGCATTAAAACAATTCTCGCAATTGTCCTGGAGATTATTTAGGGATAAAATAGATAAATATAAGAGACAAAATAAATTATGATTTTATATTTAGGACTAAATCGAATCTCTAATTAATTCTTATATTAAGAACCAGACACAGCATCATAATGGGAAGCAACCCATAATTTCACGCTATTAAAAGCTGAAACCCTAAAGCTGTGTAAGTATTAAGCAACTAAACAGGCTGTCACCATTTTCAAATCAGCGCACAAGCGAAGCATCCCTTGGCTTTGAAACCTTTTTCACGAATTCTTGAAACTTAATGAACACTTGGATTTTTTTTTTCTATTTATGCTAAAGAAATTCGAATTTTCTCCTATTAAATTTGAATTTGCTAACTAGTTTCAAATTTGACTTGCCTTACACAAAACAACTAAAAACTCAACTTCCGGTAGACAAAATGTATTTTGAAATGTATTAACAAAATATTCAGAAAAGGTTGAAAATATTTCTCTCATCAGATATCAGATTAAAGCTCCATATTTTTTTACCATAAAAAAGTTATGAGATGAGTGTTATTTAAAAGATTGTTGAGTTTATTTTGATATGAAACAGTTTTCACTACACAGTTTTCTTTCTTTTCTTTTTTTTGGGCCAACAATAAGAACGCAATTTGTGAGATATTGTAAGACCATTTATCAAATATTCCTAACCTTTGCTTAGTATTTGGATCATAATTTTCAAAATACAAAGATTATTTTAATGTCTTCTTGCATTAGAAAGCAGACTCATATAGCTTTCCAATAATATATCATTCGGTCAATTTGAATTTAAATTAAGAAATGAATGTTCATTGCAAATTGATCATTAAATTAATTTTGTTTATGTCCATTAGAGTTTGTAAGTTGATCTGTTCGATTGCAGGGTTAAAGAGGGATACGGAAATTTTCTAGACACATTTGAATTTCGTAAATCTTGTCATCTTGGATTTCAAAGCCAAATTTGGTTAACCTTGCAGAATGGCGTCTCTGAAATTTAAATTTCTTTATAAATCCATGGTCATTTGAATAAGGTTTTTTTTCATTATTTTATTGTTATTTTCAACTTACCAAACACAGGTTTTTTTATCAAACCACATAACATGCCAAACATGTGCGCAAGCAAAATTTTTCCTTTCCCTTCCCTCCTTTAATTCTTCTCACCAAAAGGCACGAAGCCAAAACCCAAAAAGGCATGAAGCCCTTTAAAAAAGCCGAAAACTCTTTCAAGAAAATGAAAAGGAAAGATTCAACACAAGCTAGACAGATTTTTCAAACATACAAGTCAAAACCCCATCAATAGACACTTCTACCAAAAGAAAAAAATGACTAAAAATTGATAAACGGAGTTCATGGCACAATAATTGGTACTACTCATAATGACACCTCAGTAGCCACCAGCACAATGATCATTGCACACATCCAACAACATTTAACTTACAAACTTGTATAATTTGGTTCGGTACAAACTTGTATAATTACTTTACAACTACAATGCAATATCATCAGATTGAGTCTGTCTCTTCATCTTCACAGAATCTTGGGCTTGCTTCTGGCAGGAAGCAACTGCATTGCACAAAACAAAATTGAGCAAATAAATAAAATAAGCATTGCAAAGCCCCTCGGATGGTGTAAAAGGAAGATAATTCTTTAGAAATTGAGTTCAATTTGCTAAGTGAATCACCATTGATGACGTTGAAAACCCATAAATATGATCTTACCATCACCAAAATTGAATGTAAACTATTTGGTAGGAGGGGAGGAAAGGAAAAATTTTAATGAGTTTGATTTCAATAACTAAAAAAGTGGGGTTAAAACTTATAATAATTTTTCTCACTCTTTTATCTTAAAATTTTTTAACCCTACTTCTCAAATTTTTTAAATTGAGTTCAATAAGACCCCCCCCCACCCCAAAAAAAAACCACATTTCTCTTGTACCAATCATAGGATAAAGCTTTGGCAACAAGACATTAATGGATTTCTAAAACTTTTCGAGTCAAAGAATGATAATTAATTTCTAAAGACTGTAACTGATGGAACATGCATCTTCCAGGGATTCAAATGCTAGCTAACTCCGTGCGCTCCCTAAACATTGTTATTCAATTCCATTTGTCTCTATAGAAAAATTACCAAGAGCATGCCTTGTTTGTTAGTGCAAGTGGATATAAAAGAAGTTGGAAAATGAAACAGACACACTAACTCTCAAAAAAATCAGGGTGCTCGGAATAAGAGACGCTGAAGGTTAATCATAGGGATAATAGCAGGCACCTGATAGCAAGATATTAGGGAAGTGACGAATCCAAAGGCACCGGTCACACGGGGAGTAACTTTCTTGGGTGCCAATTGAAGCAGCCCAACTGCTACAACTATATCCATTGCTGCCTTGATAAGCGCAAGAGTCCTCTCATTCGACATTTTTAGTTTCGCACGGTACTGCTCATTCTGCACTCACGGGGAATGGGGTTAAATAAAATGTAGTTTTAGAACAGAGGAAAGCACCAATACCGTCCAAACAAGATTTTTTTTTTTGGGGGGTGGGGGGCTATGAAGAACCCATACATCATATTTATTACTGTTCTTGAGTTCCTTCTCTAACTTCTTCATTGATGCAGAGAGTCTCCCAAGCTCCCCAAGCTGATAGAAGTTAGAAAACACCATAAAGATGTTAATAGAGGAGAGAGAAAGGAGCCTTTGCTGGTATGTACACGGTAAAAGTATAGGGACTAGAAAGGGAAGCCACAAACCTCAACCAAGGTGCTACACACTGAGGAACCCATCCAACAAAAAAGCGATATTCGGCCGATTAGCTCAGTATGTTCTTTGCTCTGTAGTTGAACCAAAAAAGTTTACATGTATAACTTGATTACTCGGTGAAAGTTTCCCATGAATAATTCAAGGAATAAAAAGGAAACACTTTGATTCCTACCTGGTAGATGCCTGATCTGCCAAGCCACACAAATTGATCGAGAAACAAGAAAGTTGACAGCAATGCATTTTTGGACTGAAAATAGCATTAAACAGTATATCAAGGTAAGAATGAGGAACGAAATAAGAGGGTGACGAAAAGTTGGAATAACTTTGATGAAGATTGTACCTTTCCCAACAAAATTAAGGGAAGAGGAGTTCCGCGTGGAGCCGGACCTATCAGAGCATGCAGATCGTTGACAAACTGCATATCAAAATATCAATTAGTTTACAACTTCTTTTCTATGTTAGGAATTCTTCTTTGAGTATAAGAAGAAACAAATAGGTTGCAAAATAAATGTTTCAAAACTGTCTGTTACAATTTACTTTCCAATTCTGTCAATGTAGAAACAAAGAATAATATTCACATTAGTAGAAATATTACAGTTTCTCCATTTACATAAATAAAGACTTGGCCCAAAGAAAAAAGGAATTAAGAGAATGCAGACAAGTAAAAAGATTTAATCCATTTGTATAATACAAGGAGTAGATTATCCAAAGGAAAACAAAAACAATGAATAAATGAATAGCATAATTGTTCAAGATTAAAATGGATAATCCAACCTTGAATAGACGAAAAACTTTGCGAGCCAAAGTGGTTGATCTGTCGACATTCTGGGCAGTACCAGGTTGCCCATCACTCAGAAATTTGGAACCATACTGTATTGCCCTGCATATTTTGTCCCTGGCTTCAGCCTTGTTCAAATATAAAACCAGAAGACCAAGTTCCGCTCTGGTTGCATCCAATGTACTCATCTTTTATACTTGTTAAAGCTGCAAAACAAAAGGCACAATTCTACTGTTAAATGAGGCCATGAGTTTTAGCTCAATAGAATTCTGATTCAATTGATAATATGCAAAAAGAATCATTTAAATAAAGGAAAAGATAACTTGTTCATCTATTGAACTCATATACAACAGTGTGCAATTTCACACACATTGGAAAGAATAAGCACAAAGGTATTCTCACACATTATGGAAATGAGCAATACAATTTAGCAGAAGACAAAACCTCAGCTCGTGCCACACAAGCATGCAAATCATTTACACTGGCAAGTAAATGATAATCATGGTACGAAGTGTGATTCAATTAAGTGGATATGTTTGAACAAAAAAATTAAGTGGGTATGCCTTTGTGTGCTTGACAATTTAGCCTTGCTGTAGCAATAAATTGTTGCCCATTAGTAACATTCGATTTTAAAGAAAAATGAAAAGGAACCAAAGGCAATGCAGTAAATTGTTTAATAATCACTTTTTCAGCAGGTTTATTTTAATTTCTCCACTCAAATATAAAGACTCGTAGCATAGCATGAAGAAAGGTTGAATCCAAATAATCAACCGCCTAGAATTGAAATTTACTCCAACAGAAAAGAACCAGTAAAAATGTCCACCTTGAGATCGAAATTTTGAAACTAATGACTAAAAGCTAAGGCATCAGCATCTATGTTTGTTTGACAAGTATTGAATAAGAACAGAAGTAGTCTAATAGGCCCTTCGTTGAAGTTTTGAACAACTTTCAAATTCTCCTCTAAAAGCTTATAATTTTTCTGCTGGGGCATCAGGACATTAATCAGGATTAAATTTCTTACAAAGAAGAAAGAAATAAATGCTTGAGGAGAAGCCAAAATATGAACAGACCCAAGATACGTTTAGCATGTGACTCAAGCTGCAATGAATATTAAGTGTATTTTTATAGCAAAAACAACTGTTTGGATATGATTGAAATTGCAAAGAAATAAATTTTATATCGTCAAAACTCGAAACGATAAGCCGTATTCAATAACACATATTTTTTACCTGAATTCAATAACACATATTGAAAGAAAACATGTGAATCACAAGCTTAAAATCCCCAATTTCCCCAGTCCTTCCTTCAAAGTTCGGAGCTACCGTGCATCACAAAATAAACAATTTATAGAACAGAATATCTTTTTTTTTTTTTGAGCTGGATATAGAAAAGAATATCAAAAATATGGCAAATAACCAAAATGATAAATTTCAGCAGTTCCTTTATGAATTCTCAATCCTGAGCCATACCAAGACGAGCACCCCCAATCAGACCCAAAATCCAAAACTTCAAATCCAACAATCAAAAGTTACTCTATTTGCACCACAAACAAAAATTTCAACCATCTAGAAACCATAGGTGCAAGTGAGTTCCCTGATTACTCAACGGAGGCGAACAGCGAACAAACAGGACACGCAGAGAGAACAGGAGAAAGAGAGTGGATGTACCAAAGGAAGCGGCAGATAAATTCGCTTTGAATAATCAAAATCACAAAGTTGGCAGAACCAGAACGCCTCTGTGTTGCTTGTAGCATTGCGATGATAGGCTTTTGAAAAGGGCGTGGTTGGTCCTCTTCGTTTCCCGGCAAACAAACAAAACATTTTTAGCACACGAAAATTAATCCGCTTAGACCCCTATTTGGCTGCATCAAGATTTTCCGTGGGAAATTGCGACCCACCCCCACGACACCGTTCAAGTCTCTAGATTTTCATTTTTAAAACTGAATAGATCAGAATTCTTTATTAAATAAAAAACAAGGAAAATTGGGGATGAATTGTGAGAAATTAATTGGTAAATTTGATCTAATTATAAAAACTAGTTGACTAATTTAAAAAATTAAAAAAATAAGTTAAATTAGTTATTTTTAATAAATATGTGTTGTCTTTCCTAAAATATCCTTACTAATCAAGTGTATAAGTTACAACTACTAGTATTAGGAGGACTACCTTAAAAAAATGTATAAATAAGAGAGACAAAATGGATTGAAATTTTATATTTAAGACCAAAGTAAAAATCAAACAAAGTCTTATATTAAAGATCGGAGGTAGTATCTAATAACTTTATGCAACTTAACTTTTATTAAGAAATTTTCTCAAAATAAAAAAAGAAATTGAGAAATTCCAAATCAAGATTTGACCAATGTCTTCTGAAGGAGACCGAATATTAAATCACTTAAAGTATTTCCCTGGTCCAAAAAAAAAAATCACTTAAAGTACTATTAGCTCTGTTGGCGGACAAGAAACAGTATCATTGGTCACGGTTCAATAATTGGATTCAAATTAAACTGTGGTTCAAAAGACAGTCATTAAAATTATTATATTTCTAAATATATATAAATTATTATCGGTAGGATGACATTAAAGTTCCATGGGAATGCCCTAATGCCACTAAGTCTCACCAAATGAGGAAATGCCGATAAGACTTTGAGAGACTTAAATAAAACTAAAATTTTGAACGTAAAATACTCTTCCCTATTTTTTAAAAATAAAAAAAATAAAAATCTTCCCTACAGTCACTGGTTCTGAAAAGGTGTCTATTAAGCCAGTTCTATTTAGTTAGAAGAAACAAGCAAGTCTTCATAGGAACGATAAAGAAGTGAGGATCTGCAGAAGGCAAAAGAGATGCATGATTAGGGTACATAATTCAGAGGAGAAGGAAGAAGAAGCAGCAGGGGTGGAGAGCAGTTGAAATCATAAAATCCGTAAATTGTAAGTGCGTTTGATTTCTGTTTTTTGAAAATTGTTTTCATTTGAAAAAAAAAAATTTGTTTGCTTGAGTGGGTATGTCGTATCTAAATGTTTTTTTAAAAACAATTCCTATTTTTGTTATTAAAATCAAGAAAATGGAAACATCTTAGAGCTGCTCCTATTTTTGGTATGTCGTATCTAACGGCGAGTTTGGGATGGCATAAGTAATTAAGTAATAAGGGACTTTTGTTCCAAAAGCTCAGTCAAAGATTAAAAATTTGTTTGAGATAGCATCCAAAACACTTATAAATACGTTTTATATAAGTTAAGATAAAAAATTTTTCTCATATACTTATCTCGTGTTTTATAAATTATGATTAAAAAACTTTTTATAAGTTTTTATAAACGAATCACAAGCCAAATTTTTCTGCTTCCGAGAAATGCACAGTGCGGTAAGCTATTTTTACCAACATTTAATGCACCATGAAAATTAACTTGCCAAAGCTGCCTTATGTTGTCTTGCTTTTTTTCTCTGCTAGCTCAGCAATTTTCGTATTTTACTTTGCCTGCTAGCCACTCTTTTATTTGTTCAATAATAAATTATTGATGATGTTAGTCTTGCATAATTTTTACGCAAAAAAAAAAAAAAGTTGATAAGGGAGCCAGTAGGACTTAGGAGGCAGTAATTGTGGCTGCTAGAAGATTTTCCCATTTTCTTTTTTCCCCCACGTTTCTCTTAAAATTTTCATATTTTGTAAATATAATATATATAATAGTGAAAAATAGATATATCCTGGGAAAAAATATGTATTATTTATTTAACATAATATCTATACTCTAACCCAAAAAAGAAATATATATTATTTAATAAAATTCATATCGTTTTCAATTATTTTACAACTAAATTTGTTTTTTCAATAATAATTCAAACAATTTCTACTTTTACAGACTGATTTTTTTTAAAAAAAAACAAAAGCTCATCCAAACATAAATTACAATATACAATTCAAGATTTTTCTTAGTCTATGTGAAATATAAAAATCTCTTATAAATAAGACTAGAGGAGTAATTAGGAAAGAAACTGATCCAAACACATGACCAGGCTCAAATCTTCTAGCATTGTGCGATTTTGAATGCACATCTTCTGTTCACAATGCCAACCCAAATACGAGCTTAACCTAACCTATGAAGTTGATCTCATTCTTACCTTAATACTCCTCCGGTCCTAATTATAAGACCCAATTGACTTATTTGATGAGATTAAGGAAGTAAGTTAAGTTGGTTTATTATAATAAATAAGTGTTGTCATTCCTAAAATATCTTTGTTAATTAAATACATTGACTAAAACTATCATTATTAGAAGGATTATCTTGAAAAAAAATGCATAAATATAAGAGACAAAATGGATTGGGGTCTTATAATTAGGACCAAATAAAAAGTCAATGGGGTCTTATAATAAGGATCGGAGGAGTATACTGTTTAATGCTTTTTTTTTGTCCAGTCCAAAAATGAATTATTGTCAACTTTCACTACAAAAAAAAAACTTATTACCAATGGAATTAGCGACGAGAAATTATTCCATCGCTAATTTCTGACAAATTACAAATGAAAATATTGTCACTAAATTTAGTGACGGATTAGCGACAAGATTTCATTCGATCACTAAATATTGCTAATTCATCAAAAAATCTGTCAGTAAATATTTAGTGAATAAAATTTTTCTATAAGGAATTTTCATCGCTAATTCTAATTATAAAATTTTTAGCAACAAAAAAATTTTATCACTAATTTTCGTCACTAATTCTATTACTAAATTATTTGTCTTCCATTGCTAAATCTATTATGTTATAATTTTGTCGTTAATCCGTTTCTAAATTTAAATTTCATTATTTTGAATTATAATCTTACAACAATTTATATAATAACATAGTTAAAAATATAAGTGTTTAAATATATTTTCAATTATAAAATAAATTAATATATTTGTGGAGTTGGTGTTAATGAATACATCATCATTATTCATCTGACCATTAGATACATAATGTGAATAGGAAGACAATTTCTTAAAAAAACTTGTTTATATTTCATTAAAATCAATTCCTCTTGATTATTAATAATAATTAAACAAACATGATAAGAATATTAATAACTTTTTTATACAAATTGATATAAGAAATATTTCAGAAATAATTATATTATATATACAATATATTTAAAGATGTAATATATGATATAAACTCAATCAAAAAATGAATTTAAATGAACACTTCAATTTAAATGTAATATAAAACCTATGTTGATAAAGGAGTTTTTGTTGATCTCACGACTCACGGCCAGTATGATATGTTTCCTACACAGTTCCTCCTTTTAATGTTTTTGGTACCATTCTCCTCTGTTCATTTTTTGTTTATGCCTATTTGTTTTTCTTTTCCGTTCATACTTTTTGTGTCATGTGACAATGTACGAACATTCAAAGACATATGTCCAATGTTAAAAACCCTTGAACAAAAAGAAAATATTGTAGAACATGCTGTGTGTGAAAATGAAATCGACGCTTTCGATTCCTGAGTTTGGGTCATGAGGAACCTTTATTTCTGGGTGACAATATTGGTGCCATTGCGTGGGGGGGGGGGGGCCCAACAAGAAGAAAGCAACACTAGGAACACGTTAAATGGAGGCTGGACAGCAAAGATATGGGCTGAAATGAATTGGGTCCTACTACCCGGCCCATGCTCCAATCGGGTCGAGCCCATCAACTGGAGGTTGAAAATGGACTTCCATAGTGATAGTTTGAGCAAAACAACGACTTGTTCAGAACAGTTTATAAATAGTTTTTTAATCATAATTTTTAAATTATAAGGTAAATATATGAAAAATTTTATCTCAACTTACATAAAACATATTCATACGTGGGTTATGAACTTATTCAAAGCAATTTCTAGGTTACTAGGTTTGGATAGGGTTAAAATATTCTAAAAATGTAATTATTAAATAATAATAATAATGCCTACAATTTAGAAGTTTTAACATCCAATCACAGCCTAATCTATGACAACTAATATACACATTGCTATTACATAAGGCTCCAAGCTTTCTTTTAGGTAAACTTTCAAGATTCCTAGGGGTGAGCATGCTTTGTTATTCATTATTTTGAAAAACATATCTCAAAATTTAAAGAGGAGGGTAAAAGAATATTTCGTTTTATTAGCTTGTTTGCCATTAATGAAAATACAATGTATTGCGCCTCTTCTTTAATTTTGCCAAACAAAAAGTAACAAAACATAAAAAATGGTGGTCTGTTTTGTTATTTTTCAGAAAAGTTTAATTTTTATTTTTCACAATACATAATTAAATCTATATATTTTTAAACAACTCTTTTTTAGGGGGGAAAAGTGTTTTGAAGTTGGAAAACTCATCACGATTTTGCCTAACCAGTGGAGCTTTGTCGTTTTATATGAAGTAGCGGTTGGGGAGCTACCAGTTACCACAGGCATTTGGGTTGGGAAAGTAACTTTTATCATGTGAATCTATTGGAGTAATTCAATTATTTATTGGCCAAAAAATCGGGGTGCAAGTAATATATATTATCCACGGAGTGATCCATTATTTCCAGAATGAATTACAGTGAAGTCACAAAGAAGAAATATAATTATTAGAAAGTCTTAATGCCAATTAAGAAATTGTCATTTGCTACACTAAAATTTATC